CAATTTCGATTAACTCAGTACGCAGTGAATGTAACATTAGAATCAATGCAAATAAAACTGAAACAATGCATGTTGGTGAAACCCCGGGCCCACTACACATTCAGTTGCATGTTTGTGGTCTGAATCAAGTCAGGGAATTGAAATATCTAAAAAGTATGATCACTGAAGCTTGTAGGATGACTTCTTTTCTCAGGCATCGCATCTCGCAATTAGTGATTTTGTAAATATTGGCTTTAGATAATGTTTGGCAATGATAGTTTAATGTTGGAATGAATATGTCGTTTATACGATGTCTCTTTGCATCCATGGTTATTTTTTTGGTGATGTCTCAATAATGGTGGCGAGATGCAATGCCTGAGAAAAGCTGTCTTCCTAACCATCCATGATCATGCGAATAATGTTTACTATTAGACAAATTGTGGAATCGACACCTTGTAGTAGATTCATCGAGAAACAGCAGATCAAGTGGTTTGGCCATTTTGTTAGAATGCAGCAAGATCAAATATCCTTACAAGCACTACATCTCAGAAGATCAGCTACAAGAGCAAGAGGGCCTCGAAAATAAGAGACCGACAACATAAAAGACACTCTATGCCTTCACGGCACATCCATAGGCAACCTGCGTGCACTGGATCGCAAATCCCCCCCCTCCCTCCCCCTCCCCCTTACGCCGATTAACGACAGAAGTGGTTTATAATAATGACGATAAACACAGTTTTCACCTAAAAGGGTTATACAAATTGTATACAAAAATAAAATAAATTCAAACTGTGTACGTATAGTAAAAAAGTAAAGATCCCTTTTCACGCCTTATGCGCATCGGGCATATGGGACGAGCGTCCCATATTTTTACAGATCAATCGGCACTGGGTGGGTAAAGTGGTCAGCATTACGCCGGCCGTCTTTACTTCCCAATGAAAAGTAAAGATCCACTTATACACCTTAGGCGCATCGGGCATATGGGAAGAGCATCCATATTTTTACAGAATAATCGGCAATAGCTGGGTAACGTGGTCAGCATTATGCCGGCCGTCTTTATTTTCTCAGGACATAAATCCTTGTACTCATTTATAGTGGTGGGTAGACTTGCGACACCCCATACCATGATAAAAATCCACGGAGCCAGTAGTGGGTTTCGATTGCGGTACGTAAAACAATCTGGAAATAAAGTATATTATGCCCTTCAACATCTGCTAAAGTCAAAGTGTCTGACTCGCAACATTAAGATCAAAAAAATTTTTAAACCTTGATTAGACCAGTCGTTTTATATGGCTCTGAAACTTGGAGCACAACTAAAGAGATAAAGTCTTATTACATTTTTTCGAAAACAAAGTTTTACGACGAATCTTTGGATCCATCAAAGATGCAAATAGCGGTGAATGGAGAGTGAGAAACAAGCACGAAATTTATAATCTGTTTGAATCACCACTGATAACTGGCATCGTGAGAATGAATAAATTGAAATGGTTGAGACATATTGAAAGAATGTCAGTTGAAAGAGAAGTAACAACTGTATACACCAGGAAGATGAATGATCGTAGACCATGAGGCAGACCAAGAAGACGATGGAGAGATAATATCCTGACAGACCTGCAAAGACTTGGTGTCACAAACTGGAAAACAAGGCCAACCAGAGAGATGAATGGAGTCGGGTGATATCTACAGCAATGAACCTCAAATGCTCCGAATGCTCAAGACGAAGAAGAATATGACAATTACAAAAGCTCTTCTTTAATGCATGAGTTTCAGAAACGTTTTGACCCTAACAAAGTAGTTCTTTCTTTACCTTGGTTTTGTGTGTGCGGGTTGTCATAAGTCACATAGGTTTGAGGAAAAGGTCTTTATTATGTAATATATATTTTTTGCGACTAAATCATTTAGTCTGTATACTATAACAACAATACAGCATGAAATTGTATTTACAATAATAAATTATCACAATATCACACATCAGATTCGCTTTCTGTAACGAATAATGTGCTGAATACAAAGCTCAGGAAACAAAAGTACACTCTAACTGACACCGACTAGCTAGCTGTTATTTGAAGTATACTAGTTCGTACAGCAGGTGATGACTTATAGTTACTGCAGTCCAGCTGACATCTTGAAGTACTTAACACGACACAAACTGTAACAAGAAAACTCAACAGAGGGAATAGAATTGACCCGCACAAATTCATGCCCGTCCGTATTTTTTCCTATTCAAAATTCTAGTTCCATATTGATCGTGACTGTTTATATGATCGGTTGTCTCGTCTTTTGAATTTTCGAATTAGTTTGTTGCATATAGTACTCCGTTGATGCAAAAACACTTCGGCTGTGTTTGTTGCCCGTGTTGTCGATTCTCTCATTTGTCATTTTCAGTCACGGTGTGTGTATGTTGTGTTTAGTACTACAAGGCTGTCGATCGACAGATAAATCTCTTTGTTCCATCCGGCTGCTCCCAAAAGGTTTAGCACGCAGCCTGACACACTGTTGGCCAACAAAGCAAATCCTATATATCCCCTTAGGCCTCCAAAGAAGCTGCACTTAGGGCACCTGTAACGACTACATCAGCCACATGTAAGCTGTAGTCGTATGCGAATAAGAACGAAGGCTCAGTTATTGTGTGAAGAAGAATACAGGAGTGCGAAGAAAGTAAAGAGATGACTTATGGCTACAAAAGTGATAGCTACAGGAAAACTTCTACTGGGCGAGGGAGATATTCTGAAGACCATATATGAACCAATGTTGACAGAAGACAGGAGATTAGATGAAACAGCATGTATTAGAATGAGCGAACGAGGACTTAGGAGTGGATTCGGCAAGGAGGGGTGTATAACAGGAAGAAAACAACCAGTTTATAATCAGTTTGCTACGGGACCACTTAGCAACTGCATTACTGCGCGAGACGGAGAACCTATGGGTATGCCCGTTGTGCTGTGATTTCGATTCTGAAATGTGCAAATCAGTAGAAATCAGTAAAACAGGAGAAGGAAAGCTCGAGGCGCGCCGCAACGAGTGGTTATTTTCGCTTAGTTTTTGCTTTTTGTTTCGTTAGCGTGTCTCCTGTGTGTATTCCCAGATTCCAGTTTCCAGGTGCGGAAGGAATGGAAAAAAAGGAGGGGGAGTGTGGGGGTAGGGGTGGTGGAGTTAAGACAAACCGTGTCTTAACAAGCCTCTCGTAACAAAACAGGCTTACTAAGAGCCTGTTTAAATCAGATTTACTGGGCCGAAGCGCATATATATTACGGCCTGGCTGTCAGTCAAAACACAATGTGCCAAACTCTCTTCTAGGAAGGAGCGCTGAAGAAAAAGATGTTATATAGCATGTTCTGTCATCCACATTTCTTTCATCTAGTACGAATCAAGGTTCAGGAATCGCGAATTTACGTCTTATTTTATTTCAGTTTTATATATATATATATATATATATTATATATATATATATATATATATATATATATATATATATATATATCACTACTGAATCTAAATGATGATCACAATTGCATGATAGTGATGATGAGCAAAAAGACATGATAGTGATGACAATAATGCAATTGATGGTTGGTGAGGATGACTGTGCTTTTACAGGACTCGTGATATGCTACGTGAATTATGAATGTATTGGCGTGTTTGTTAAAAGGTTGTCCTCCGCTTTTTAAATTGTGTTTTATGTTCGTAACCATGATAATATTGTTAGACCACTCATAACATTAGTCTGCGTGGATATGACGACAATAGGGAACACTTTACATATTTTACACTGTACAAATGCATATATACATATACACACATATATACACAGAATTTCGGAGAAAAATGACTAAAAAGCTCAACAAAATAGGAAAAAGGAAAACGTGCACAAAACAACACAACGTAACGTTTCGACCGGGCGGCCTTTTTCAAACAGAAGTGGACTACACAAACGAGGAATGGAGAGTATGTAGATCTCTAAGGGGTGACGTGAGCGACGTTTAAAAAATGTGATGCGGAATAAATGAAATAAAATAAAATAAACGATGGCTAAAAAATATAGTCACAATACTGGGAATAAAAGAAATGCAAGTTTTAATGATACATAAATGATATTGATAAGAAATAGAATATACACAGACACATCTGCGGGCACACCTACACACACAAATATACATATACATAGCTATGAATCTCCATACTCCACCCACACACTTGTGAATCTCCATACTCCACTCATACACTTGTGTATCTCCATACTCCACTCATACACTTGTAAATCTCCATACTTCACTCACACACTTGTGAATCTCCATACTCTACTCACACACTTGTGTATCTTTATACTCCACTCACACACTTGTGTATCTCCACACTCCACTCACACACTTGTAAATTTCCATACTCCACTCACTCACTGGTTTATTTCCATACTCCTCTCACACACTTGCGAATCTCCATACTCCACTTATAAACTTGCTGAACTGACAGGTGTGCATAACCGTTCGGGAACTTTATTTACCGGTGAACTTCTATTGGTGGCATCTTTTCAATTGAAAAAAAAACAAAAAAACATTGTGGTCCAGATTTTGTTGACTTGTGGTCTCCGGGGCCAAGTATTCAAGGCAATTGGCTTGAGATCTGAAGGTTGTAGGTTCGTTTCACGGAGACCACGTTCGGCTCAGATGTGAGCTTTTATAAGAGATCACTAGGGATTGTCCCTAGAGCAACAGAGTTTTTTTGGTTTTTACGAGTGTCCTGGAAGGCGGAAAGTCGTTCTGTTGAGGTAGACCGAGCCATATTTAGTACAACTCAATGTAATCAAGTCGATCTTCTAGACTTTAAACTTCCTTACCCATCGTGTTGTTTAGAATATCTCTTAAATCGTGCTTATTTTCTCTGTATTTTGGTCAAGTGATAATAAAACCCGATAATCTTGATCTCATGTGTCGTCCTCGACTCTAGCGTATTTCCAGGGGATTTAGTTATTAACTGATATGTTTTACTATTCCTTTATAATATAAAAACAACACGAAAAGTCCCTACTTTTCCTTTCCAGTCCAAAGCGGGGGATAATAGGTTTCTGGATTAAACGAAGCGCCAAATGTTGTGTCTTTTGACATGAACCTTTTGAAGTAAACAACGTACCCACCCGCCAAAAACGAACTCCACCACCCATAAGTTCCACCCGACATTATCACGTGATCACAAGAGGACAAAATGGCCATGTGAATAGCTGGGGGTGCATTAGGTAATGCTAACACATTATCACTTTTCAAATTGTCATTGCACCAATTAAGATCATCGCTAGCAACTAAATACGTAATATTTCTATCAGGAAACTTGGATTGCATCCATTTGAATGCCTTTGAGAAATAAGACTTTTCTGGGACTCCATAACCCAATTTGGGATTACCACCATTAAGGAAATCCCCTCTTCGTATGTGTACTCCTACAAACAAGTTGCCTTTTCGTTCAGAAATTAGGTTGTGAACAATTAAATATGCTTCGTTAGCAATTGAGTCAGAAAACAGAAACTCCTGCCTCACTTCATCGGCGTAATCTTCGAAATATTTGTAGGACTGAAGGTATCCACCAATGCTGATATTCGCTTTGGTTAAATTCAACAATCTTGTGTCAAAAGCGTAGGCATGTCTTTCCCATAGAAATAGCCATATGTTAAAGTAAAGCACAATAAAATATGAAATACCAATAAAATGCAATTAAAAATAAAATTCAATTCAGAACAACAATAAATAATAAATCTTACAAATATACAAATAAATTACAATTTAAACAGAATAACAATAAATTAAAGTTTAACAAATACAACTAATGACGCTTCACTGTGACATATATCTTGAAAAATAAAATACGTGATCAAGGGAATATTCTAAAGTGTTCAATGCAAGTTAAACGATAATCATTACAACATAAATGTTTGTTTGTGATCAAAGGAGTTAGGCAGGGATGCACACACATGCTGTTTAATCAAACTGGCTGATGAATAAAGTTATAAGAGATAGAGACAGATGTATCAGATGGTCACCTACCTCAGTTTTAGAGGACGGACAATGCAGATTAGTCTTATATCAAACCGCTATATGGGTGTTCAGAAACAGGGGACAGACTTTCTGTAGCGTTTAAGATGGGACTCAAGGTAAATAATAGTAAAACTAAAGCAATGAGAAATAATCAGATACAAAATTACAACTGAATTAAACGATGAAGCAATAGAAGAAGAAGAAGAAATAGAAGCATTTATATATCTCGGAAGTTTCAAAAAACAAAACCCATACCGCATTAATGTTTAACCCTGCGACGCCCCATACCATGATAAAAATCCACTCAGGCAGCAGTGGGTTTCGATCGCATACGTTGAAATTACAAGTCTACTCGCAACGCCTAAGCCACGGACGCCGCATTGAGAGCCGACTACTCTATAAAATATGTCTATTGCTGAATGCACACGCTTGAACTCGTGGAAAAGAGCCAGTTAGTTCTCAATAAAACCTCTGTCAACCAAAGCAGATCTCATAAGAACAGTTTTTTCGTCAACATTATGCTACCGGTGTCAAACAGGCTCTTTCTACAACCAATGAACAGGAGATTTTAACAACAAAGATAAGCTGTCTTAGCAGAGCTGCAGGTGTGACAAGAAGAGATAAAATCAGGAATGGGGAAATCAGAAGAGGACTAGGGGTAAAACCAGTCATACAATTATTAAAGAACAACAAATGAGATAGTTTGGACACCTGACGAGAATGCCATGGTACCAACTGGCAAAGTGAGCCACGCTGAAGAAATATAATGAAACATAAGGCAATGGGAAGAATACGCAAGAGGCGGAGCGACACCATCAAGAGCAGTCTGATAGAAATAAAAAACCAACTTTAACAATGCATTGAAAAAAGGTCACAAACAATTCTTTTACCCCCCCCCCCCCCCCCCCCCCCCCCCCCCCACCCCACACACCTCGCTGCGGTAAATGGTGGAAGAGAAGAAGAAAAAGACAAAACATCAGCTGTTTAACTGACACAAAAACCTTAAAGAGCCGCAAGTGACAAGATCATTTTGGAGAGCTGTGGCGGGGTAAGTTCGCTTTAACTAGCGAATGCACTATGTGCACTTCACAGAGGGAATTACAAACAGTAAATCTTAAAAAGGGTTTATATTACCCCCAGCCTTGCTGGTTAAATTAGAGGATTTGGGGTTTGCCCACATCTGATTCCCTACTGTTATTAAACTTGTATATTTAAATGTTCTTAAGTTCACTGACAATGTTTACAGTTAAAAGGAAACTCCATAAAGCTGTAGGAACATTAAAACTAACATTTATTAGGATTTTCAAATCAATATAAATTCAAATGATAACTAAATGGCTGTGGATATAAAATCCGGTTATAAAAAGATAGTGGTCAACTGTCCACTTAGCTGTAGCTTTAGGTCAGCTTCTAGCTAAGCCTCGGTGACACATCAGGCAGGCCGAATCTTCCGGTCCAGTCCAGACAATCGGGTATCTGCAGCTAAGCTTAGGATTTACATCTGGAGCTCCCACCTGTACCATCTGGAATACAATCTGGAACTAGAACAATAGAACAGTCCTTATACAAACAGTCAGGAAGGTTCTAACTGGAGACAACAATACCTCCAGTCTTTAAACTGTTACACTACACACATATATATGGAGTAGGATAGTAACAGGTGTTCACATTCTACTGGTATAGAATGGGAATGTGTACAGAACATGGTTCATAATCCTGATGGGGAAATATTTAGGAAACCAGTTTCATGAATACTCTCAAGAACAAGAGTTTACAGCACACAAAAAGAAAGGACATTCCTCAGTGTAAATTGTTCTGATGTCTGCACACTAGTACTCCTTTGAAGGGTTAACATGCTTACACACACAGAAATACAGTCATATTTCACAATATTCTCATTTTAACCACATGGGTTCACATCACAATGAATGAGAAACAGGGAGTGAGTTTACCAAGACCAGGAACTCATAACAGGTGCTTTGCACTGTTTGAAAATAAATGGGGTTGACATATCTCCATCAATATACTGGGTGCTGGGATAGATGTCAAAATACAATCATAGATGACAATGGGCTTTCCATCTGTCACAGTATTAACATAAAATATACAACACTCACTCCAGTTTAAATCTAAATCCACAAATGTGCTAATCTTATTCAGCAGAGTTTAGAAGTGGTGAGGGGTGAAATATAATTATTACATTTGTAAGGCCAGCTGCTGTAAAACTGAAATGTATTCCTAGTAATAGGGAAATATATCTACAACAATAATAATTACAAGCATGGGCCATACATCTCTTTTTCTGCTTCTTCTTCTCTGACAGTGTGAATATTAAATTCAGCCTCACTGTGTTATTCACTTTCCAAGCTCTTAAACTAGTCTCAGAATTATCTGGACTAAATCTAAATTAAAGCAAGACAGTGATTTATTAAGCTAATATCACCATGAGGTAAAATCAACTTAGAAGGGATTAGGTATAATGAATATACACTTCATTCCTTTTTAATTGTCCCACCATGCTGGAAGCCGGAACTGGCCGAGATTTCACATGAGGACATAATTATCACTTAATTAATATAAGTATAATAATTGAAAATATCAGTGCACGTTTCTAGTAGCAAACAAACATTATTTAAATCATCAAATAGATCATGTTGGCATACATGTACATACTAGATCATAAACGTGGTTAGTGAGGATAAAGAAATTTATCATAGTTTTTGAGCCATGTGGGCATTAAATTTCAGAATTTAACCTGTGGAATTAATTCAGAGGAATAAGCAGCAATACATCAAATTAAACTTATTCTTTTAACTCACCCCTGGCAGGGAATTCAAACTCAGGCAACAAGACAACAGAACTAACTGAACTGTGTCGATTGGGGAGAACAAAATCTTGACTCCCCCAATCTAGCCTGGAATGAAAAATGGCAGATGGGAAGTCCTACCAAGGGGGAAGTTACTCTTTGTTACCCCTTGCACTACTCTTCGCCTTTATTACCTTTCAACTCTTTAATTATAATTTTGCTACAATGAAGCATTAGGAAAGGGGTAAGAAATTTCTTAATTAATCCAGTGTTATTATGCTAATTAAAAGCAATAGGAAAATGTTTAGAACTTTGGTAATAATATTATCTAAACAAAGCAATCTTTAAAAGGACAGAAACAGCTGTCCAGACCAGCTCGTCACATATGCCCAACGAAGATAAGTTTGATATTTACATATCAAACTTAAACCGGCCTGGATACTGTTTCTGCTACCTACAATCCACGTGCTAAATTATCCCCTAATTAATCTGCTATGGGACCTCAATAGGAAAAAAAAATTTCTCCTTAACAACTGACTGGGATTTGTAGCCCCGTCCCAGCGGATATGACCGACTGCGACTAACATACCAAAGTCTTTTCCCAGAGAAAGTCAAGGCGGACTGTCCGCTTCTCTGAATAGAAACAATCTTAACAAAAGAAAAAGATGGCATGAAGGAAAGATCAGTTCAATGTTCAAAATACCTGTCTGAGTGCGTCTTATCCATGTGAAAACTATCTGGGAGGATTTACATGGAAGAAAAGGTAAGCGCTGCTTACGACAGTGTACAGACCCTACAGTCTCAACCGTAGACTGGGGTCTTGTGGGTTTCATCTGAAAATGAAGTAAAGGAAGGGTTCTTCCTCCTCTTGGCTGCACTGGCACAGACTAGACTGAAGTTTCTGGCCTGGTTGCAGAGGATTTTGGCATAAGCCTCACCAGCTTTAGGGTTGGGATCATTAATGTTCCTAACTAAACTGGCAAAAGACCTGAGCTTAAGGAGTTTACTCTTTGAGGGGTTCTCAGTAGACCTAGTTAACTTTTTAGCAGTCTGCCTAGCTATCGGTCTAGTCTTGGTGAAACACACAACTCTTTTCAGAAGAGGTGTCCACAAATGCTTTGGTTGGCTCATCTTGGATTGGACCAAGATGCGAGACTTTTGGTCTCTCATGACCTGCTTATTTGCAGTCGTTGGGTTGTCAAAGTTGTGCTTGCACTTGGTTCTGAGGGGACACAACAACATACCCTGAGACCTCACTGGCTTATCAGAAGCCTGAGACTCATTTTCTGGATAGTCAAAGTTGTGCTGGCCCTTGATTCTGAGGGGACACAACAACATACCCTGAGATCTCAGTGGCTTTTCAGAAGCATGAGACTCATTTTCTTGGTAGTCAAAGTTGTGCTGGCCCTTGATTCTGAGGGGACACAACAACATACCCTGAGACCTCAAGGACTCTAAGGCCTGAGACTCTTTTTCCCTAACTTGTAAGCAGGACTGAGATGCATTTTTGCTTCTCTCAGTAAACTCTAGGATATCACTCGACTTACTGGAAAAATCTATGTCTTTAACTAGCACATGACTTTCTACTGACTGCGTGTGAGAATAAGTAGTGGGAGCATGGACATAAACAGACTCCGTTTTACAAGATACTATCTGCAGCGTGGAGCTGAAGTCTTCTGTCTCGCCACCTACCTTCTTCAAAGTTTCCTTGCTGTGCAAGCTTCTAGATACAATAATATTATCTAAAATGGGGTTGGGTTTTGGGGAATAACACTTTTTATTTCTGCCAAGGAATGACCATCTCGACAGAAATCACCACCCTGAGTTAACTAAAGTTTTTGTGGTAGCTAGGCCCACTAGTGGTCACTGCAGTTGCAGGCTCACTAGTTTTTGATCTCTTGACAGCTGCCAAGGATCTCACATTCTCTACCAGGGTTTTCATTTCCAGATTCTGGAGGGGTAAGGGATCTTTCTTCATTACTGATGTACAGTGACTGATACTGGTACTGGGAAATGCATTTTTGGCTGACATGGAAGTGTCTGGCTTTTTGGTTGTGAAACATCCATAACTCTCGGAAGGCTCGCCAGCAAAGGCTTCTGGTTCCACTGAGCATGTTCAACAGCCTTTTTAAAACCTCTAGCTAGTGCATGCTGTTCCATTTGGACACATTCCAGTTGCCACTCCCAATCTTCTCTTGACCTTCTCTGCAACACACTCTAGCAGTTTAATACCTGTGAATTTGCAAGCCTGACCATTTCTATACTTCTTAAAAAACCAATCTATAGAATCTACTTCCCTCCCTTGGACACCTACATTAGCTTCTAGTTGAGATTTGGCATTCAACAAATCAGAGACATACATATCTAGCTCAGCCCCACTCAAACCTGCCTCATGAGCAGCAAAGTCTGAGATGGTCTTTTGCCCAATAGAGGAATGCATATGCTGTCCACTCTTCGGTTAAGCTGAGTGACCCGTACAAAGGATTTGCAATTATGCCTCTGATCATTACATGTGTGCATGTGGGTAGTGCTTGTGTAATAATTCACTAACTCACACTAGCGCTATGTACAATCGGCTGTCTTAATAGTTATACTACGTGTTTCTGAACATTGCACTGGTAGTGGTACACACGCGCTGACACACTCAACGATATACACATCTGAGTGCTAATGACTCACCGTCTTCGAACACGATGTCGTAATCCATCAACCAAACCGTCGTGACCTGTAATTCACAACTGTCTGTCGTCATGTGTCTCCTCGTGTACGGTGTACGTGTTCATTTACCAACTCCCTCCACTCGCTCTATAGGCGGGGCTACACCATTTAGGTTTATCTCTGTGGCCACATGATACAAATTATTCTCTCCTGTCCATATTCTTATATAGTTTGTGATGCTGTGTACTGAAATTGATTCTGTGATACACTACTGAACTACCTCTCTGTAAAGTGTCATCATGTCTGTGTACATTCACATCACGGCGTCAAGCTTAATTTTGTTGGTCATCATACCTCACTAACAGACCCAACCGTCTGCCCGGTATCATGAACTCTGAATACTACCGTCCAATAGTTCGTGTATCGACTGTTATCAGTACTTATCAACTCACGCTTATGTACACATCATGTACATCTGGGTGCTAAACACTTTGTCATCTGTACAGTAATTGTACAATCTGATTTACACACTGAATATGTGGTTTGATCACTATGACTAATGACAAGGATAACCAATATCTCACTTTGTTGCTCTGATGTGGACTATACACCCCCGGTAGTTGTCACGTATGATTATGCACTCCACAACCCTGTGCTGGTGTGTCTAGAGGTTGCACAGTAATGTGCGACTTTGTCCGTGACGAGACTGAATCAATATCCCCAACAACCTGCGCTGTGCTGCTGTGTGTCGGTCCTCTTCTGACGTTGTCATGTAACATCATAGATGGAATTAATAACTGCAACTATTGTCTGACAAATCAAGTGTTTACAATAGGGGAGGAATATACATATAGAAAAAAATAACAACTTACAAATCATTACAACAAAGTGTGTGCTTGTATATATAATACATCAGGTCTGCTTGAGTTGTTGAAGTCGTGTATGATAGGATATAAAACTGTGTACAAGAGGATTACTCGTGTGTAGGTTTGGACACGCTCAGATACTCTGGTAGAATGTGTGATAATAATAGACTAGTCTAACTTAAATATGTGTGACATAGCTCCTATTAATGGTTCTTATAGTTCGTCTTTGTGTGTCTCTGAATGCAATTTATATCATAACGAGTCTGATTAAAGATACTGGATATAACAGCAGGTGGATTCTACGACTGTATCTCAGTACATATATTTACCTATAAGTCTCTAGTGCATGTTTAAAAATGTCCAATAAAAAGTCCACAGGATGATACTAAATCTGTAAAGGCAAGTGATTATGGTTTTGAACAAATTTAGAAAGTGGTGTATAGTGTGTTACGTATCGTAGTACAAACAGTAGTGGTAACGGTGACATATAATGTTAGATGTATGGCGTAAGGTTGCACGTAGATAGTTGAGTATCAACTCAAGCTCGTCATGCCTCAGTGCTCAGGAGCGTCAATTCATAGTGTACATGTCTCGTGTCCGATGTTATAAGAATCGGCAGCAATCGTACTGCTGAGTGCCACCATAAATTTCAGTTGTGATTGGTACAAAGTGTAGTTAGCATGGTGCTCTATAATACAATTTATAAACATCTGTCAGGTGAATAAACTCTATTCATGATCAGGGAACATAGAACGAGGTGTTACCCATCTGATAACAAAAGGGAACTTAAGAGAACGTGTGCTTGTGAGGTCAGCATGTGGTGAACAAGTCTTATTAGATACATAGGTTCTTGTGAATAGTTGTATAAACACACCTCACACATGAGCAGAACTCATATAAGTGTTATCGAATAGTGGGTGATAGTACAAATCAGGGTTTTCATATTAATCACTACAGTGGATAGTCGTTACTCCTAGAATATAGGTGTAATGGTGTTGTTGCACATCATGATCATGTGGTGTGTGATTCTCCATACTGATGAGTGATCACTGGCGTCTCTGGATGGAAATAGTACCTTATGGCAGGAGTAACATCAGTGTTGTACACACATGATAAGTGATCTAGATGCAAGACTCAGTAGTGTTACAAAGAATACTTCTCTAAATAATAGGATGGGGCAATGTTCGGGGGATGGTGTAACACAGTGAATCAACTCTCTTAGAATTTGTGACTCATATGGTACTGTGATGATTGTCGCGCACTATAGTATATCGTTATACACTCTCACATGGTGTGTATATGAGATACATATTATGAAAGGGTGATTTCTGACTAAACTCAATGTGAAAGATAAGGTCTGGAGTTATGTTTACAAAAATATTATATCTCTATCTATTTTAATGTATCTTATGTGTGTGTTTAAATATAGTACTAATTCTGAATTGTTTGAACATAAAGTTGTTCGTCACAGTGGTGTGAAGGTGTTTACCACACATAATACAACTGCACATGTAATAATATCTGTTGCTTATTGCTATGTGTGCTTTCTGATGGTGCATGGCCTCTGATGGTGGCATGTCTCTGATGGTGACATTCTTCCTGATGGTGACAGTCGCTGATAGTGGCATGTCTCTGATTGTGACATGTCGCTGATGGTGCATGGTCTCTGATAGTGACATGTCTTGATGGTGGCATGTCTCTGATGGTGACATTTCTCTGATGTGACATGTTCTCTGTGTTATAGATAGTAATACATTGTCCGGTGCTTTGGTACGATATAGTTGACCAATTGCTCATTCTGCTTGGTGGTGGTGCTGTGTGGACATATAGTGCTCTGTGGAGGCAAGATATACGGTACTCATATGAGATGTCACAATCTCGTGGACTTTTTATAAAGAAAACAAAAAATCGTCTTCTCACGGGATATAGTGTTGAAACATCATAGATCACTCATGTACAATGTCTAGCGTACTCGACTCTCCGTGTTATTGTAAAGTCTCACTAATTAATTCACCCCTGTCGTCTTGAACATTTATTCCTGTGATCTGAACAGAGATGTTTTAGTTGTAGTGGTTGTGTGTGTGTCGAAACTATACGATTACTCTCATACTGATGGTATGTTAGTGATATAGGTGTGCTCGACTAGGGTGTGACCATGTGCTCCTTGATGGTTAGAACACGTTCACTTCGTTGATTGTCTCCTGTACATCATCAATCTCTCGAATAGTGTGGCGTACTGATAATATACTACGTGTCGTGGCAGCAGAACTATGTTCTACATTACATGGCAGGTGGCCATGTGAACACACATGCTCTTTCCTCTCTCTCTCTCGTGATCTTGTGCGTTCTGGACACACAGTGTGTTTCTGTAAGTATATGGTAATTGATTCTGATCTTCACGCCTGCATACACTGTGTGTGATCATTAATATCTATCGTATCTCAGGAATGCTGCTATATCATTCATAATTGGCTCGGTGCTGTAGTGTATCTGCTCATACCTGAATGTTGCACGAGGATCTACTGTGGTTATGCGCTAGTCATACAGTTGAAGGTGTGAGTTGCACACTATACCCTTATAGCGACTAATGAGGGTGTATGATCAAATGTGATGCATAGGGACATGTTGTGGTAATCAATATATGTGGATTCATAACAACTCTCTCCGTGACTCCTTACTTACATTGATCCAATCAGCTGCGCTGTACTTGGATAACACAAGTGGAACTATGAGTGGTGCGTGTGAAGTATTTTTGCCCCAGATTGGACATATATTATTTCACTTATTTCACCTCATAGACGTACAATACAGCATATGCGCTAAGACACTAGGCGAACCAAATCGCCACTTAGCATATGTGTCTATCAATATGGCATTCAGAATAGAAACTACTCGTTCTTTCTCTCTTCCCACCCAAGCTGATTCTGTTATAAAGCTATTAGTTCAATTACTATCGTGATTGAAGGTGGGGTGTGGCATATGTACTCGGATGTGTTCAATACTCATGACACTCTACACACGACCTGTGACCTTGTGTGAGGATACACACGTATGGGCATTCAAACTCAGCTCTTTGGGATGTGAGGAATCCTCAATGTGTTGGTGGCTTTGGAGCTTCTCAGAAATGTATAACCGTGCTGGGCAATTCACATACGGACATGCTCGCCAGTGAGCGCTAGGCTAATACCCAACTCGAGCTATTAGAATGAACTGCGTCCAAATCTGTACTTTTCAGAGTCGTTCACCCCATAGTAACGTGTCAGGCCATCATACAAATCACTGACTCGTGCTAGGCAGGATGCCGTTGGGAGTGGAACTACTAGCACATTATAGCTTTAAACGTCTCTGCATTGCGCGATATGTAGTGTAGCATGCAACAAAATATATGTCTGTGTGTGACATTTCCCCCGAGACTCGTCTGTGCCATGTAAGCAATGAAAACACAATGGCAGATGGGCAAGTCACGTGAAAAACGGGGCTTGAGTGTAGAGTCACGTATGGCTGGATATCCTTGACATTGTGCGGCGTCGAAAAATAACAGGCATATGGATAGTGTCAACTTTATAAGTGTGACACACTGGACAAAACAGAGGGGTATGAAGTAAATAAGTTGATATATAGAATCTCTAGGAGACCAATGAAGCAACTATCGGGAAAGGGAGGGTCAGAATGATGATCTCCGATTGGGAAGTGTCAATAAGAGCTGTAGAATTATGAGAAAAGCATAGGAATAAGTCTCACCGAGTCTGACGATGGTGTGTACGTGACAGAGGGGGATAGGTGTGAGCACAAGGCAAACTCTATTAGGGATGCAGGAAGATAGACCGGGAGAAAAAAACAGGGAGAAAGGAGGTTTACAGTAACAAAAGCGCGTGATACATGTGTCACAAGGAACAGACAAGAAAGATGGCATGAATACAAGAAATACGATAGTGCTCATAAAAGAAACAGAACAAAGAAGTAACACAAGTTTTGGTATAATAGTAGATAATAAATGACTCGATTATATGAAAGGAAATCGCCCGAAAACATCAATAATATAATAATTCAGTAATGATACACCATAGACTATAGTACACGGAGGAGTGAAGAGACATGTGTAAAAACTACTGATGTACGAGATGAAAGTGCATATCGCATGAGATGATACACCAAGAACAAACGTAATTATTCGTACTATTAAATGCCTAATATCATAGTCGCTGAAGAGACTCATAGCTGCGCCACGTGTGGGATCTCTTCAGTGTATGATAATATTCATAAGTGGCTCAAGATGATTTGATGGTCCATAAGTTATCACACTAAAAGGAGAGCCCGTGCGTGAGTAATTTATCCAAAGAATTAACTGCCCTGGTTGTATTCGTATTCCCTGTAAGTATTTTCTCATTGGTTCTGTTATCTGGTTTAGTTGAATTAGAGACAGGGATCTTGTTACCAATAGTTGTGTAGTTGACTGTCGATGATTTTTTGGATATTTTAAAATCATTACTTACATTTTTATAACTTATTTTCTTAGTTAATGCCGATGTGGTAATTGTCGTATTTGGCATAGTTCTTGGTGTCGAATTCCCTGAAGACATGACGTCTAGTTGAGAATTGGCAGCTTCAAGTACAAGCACCGTAGCATCACTAAAACACAGAAAAGCATAACTTCATTTTACTGCATATTGTTCACGTAACATTTTCAGGTGGGTAATACTACAATTGTGAATTGTAAATAAATATGAGACATTCACATAAAATAGGATTTAATATCGTTAGAAGTAAGGAGCAGTGTAAACGTAAAAACTCAATGACATTTATGAAAGCTTCTTTAAGATTAAAAGTACAACAAAAAAATATTGATCTGGGCTGCCACATAAACCAACCACGAAAAAGACAGAAAGTTAATATGGCATTTGGTTACTCACCCTAAGAATCACAGAGGTTAGCAGTATATGTAAAACACGTCTCATTGCAGGGGTTTCAGTTCTTTACTACATTTCATACTAGCTTATATATCAGGTTATTGAGGTTACCAATGTCCCACTGGCCTGACGGTCTGATCTGAGCACATGAAAACGAGCGTCAAGAAAAAGAAAAATATATGCTCTATATTCTTTTCTAGTATCGATATGTGTTCACTTACACTCTGATTAGTGCAAGAGGATTGTTGTTAACTTTTCATCCTGGGGCCACCAACTCCTAGATCCGTGTTATACATAAACCTTGTGTCATATATACAGGGTTTCAGAAAAAGAATGTACCATTTTCACACAAAAATATTATCGGCTCCCTGATGTGATGTAAGAATCTTGTACGAGGAGCGGCAGATATCTAGTCGATAGTCCATCTACTCCAATACTCAAATACACATGTCTTTTGTCGTTGTGATTTTGTCGTCTCACCAATATCAGGTGGCGGAGTAGCTATCCCAACACTTGGTTTGCTTTACTGCATCGGATGTTAATTTCTTCATCCAATTTACCATCTTCGGTTAATGTTGTTCCCAGATAGTTAAGTGCTGATGATTGTTAAATGACTTTGGACTCTACTGCTATATTTAGGTTCTGCTTCTTGCTTCTTATTGATATTACTTCTGTCTTTTTCTTGTTACTTTTAATTTTATTCTTTTACATTCTTCATTCTTGGCAGTGAGTTGGTGTTGCAGTTAAATTGCTGTATATGTTATGTATGCCTGGTCATCAGCAAGGCCTGGTCATCAGCAAAAAGTTATCAATGATGTTACTGATATTCTCGTTCCTGACCTTGGCTTCCTTGCATATACTGCTGACGTATGTGATAAACAGCAGTGCTGATAAGACACATCCTTTTCTTAATCCAGATGTTACTGTGGATGGTTTATAGCTTCTTGGATTTATTCTCACTCCGCTTCTGCAAATCTCAGTATCGAGCTATCATTTTCCATAATGCTTATTTATCGACTATATCGAAGGCCTTCTCCTGGTCTACAAATGCCACATTTAAGTTCTTATTGTATTCGATGTTCTTTTCGGGCATGCTTCGCTTCGGAGGTCCCGGGTGAAGAGCATTGTTTGGATCAGTTTTCTAAAAATGCAGGTGTGTTGGTAAATGAACAGACCGACAGACTGGATGGCTCCGCAAAACTTGGTGGAATATTGATGCGTGATATGGCAGACGTGGTTAGGGCCTTATGGGAGCACGTGGTCAACTGGGAACAGCAAATTGATCACCACAGTCTGGTGTGTGTGATGCAGCGGGAAGTGACGAAGCTATCACGCCGATACTCGACGCCTGGAGGAAAGGCAAGATGGACATACAATCAGACTGCTATTGATACTAGTAGTATTGGAAATCTACCCCGGTTGCTGAAGATGGGGATGGAGCGCCTATGGGAATGTTCCAAGTCTTATGATGCGGATTTTTGAATCAACTTAAATGTTTAAGTTAGAAGATTACATATGTGCAGCTTTTATTTGTCCTTAATCTCATCTGTTTTTAAGCCAACTATAGTTCTGTCAGAAACAAGGCCTTAAGCCCTTTAACACGTGTAATGGGCTAAGGCCGCCCTTCCAATATTTTTCTTGTGTCAGCGGCACTGTGTTCAGTTGTTAATTATATCCGTAAGTAAAAGAATGCTGTATTGTTTTCTTTCAGGGGGGCCACAATAAACAGACCACACTGATGGCAAGACTAGACGACGCTATCTCTGCTTCTCTTATTTCTTACATCCGCCTCCCATACTTTGTAAACAGCGTCAGAGCAGTGGACCACCGTGCGACACGGCACACACTGGACTAGCGCAGACTGAAAGCGCAGGTGCATTGATTGCACACAAGTCGTGCTTGTTTATTGCTGAAAGTTCCTGTCAGCAAGGTGTTTTCTGCCTGAGCCATTGCGAAGCTTCACCTACACCGGATATTGCCAAATTTTAAACAGCCACAATGCAATGACATGTGAATTCACTGAACACCATAAAGGAAAGCTCAACGAGTCGAAAAAGCACTGTGAATTCATTTATTTTCAGGCTCTGCTGCAGTCACCACAGTTGTGCACCAACTGAGAGTCTCTTGTGTGATTTCTCGCCTCACACTGCGACAAAGAGTATCTGGTTTCGCTGAAGTCAACAATGAGAGTAACAGGTGAACGTTTTTTTCTGATCACCGGACTTGCAGTCCTAACGCTGATTGTTTACTGGAGCGGCCTGCGAGACTATATGAAAATGTAAACACTTTTTGTTAAGTTAATATTATATTGCTTTGGTGTCAGTCTGTATACTCTTCATATATTTATCTATCTGTCTGTCTATCTGTCTATCATCATCGTCATCATCATCATCATAAACCACTTCTGCCGTTAAGCGTCGTATGGAGGAATAATTTGCGATCTAGTGCACGTTGGTTGCCTGTGAATGATAAGTAGCTAGCATAATTATTGTTTATAATGATGTTTAGGATCTAGTTT